TTTTCGTGGTTTTCAGAAGGTAAATTTTATTTTGGTTAAAAATCAAAATAAACAAACCAAACACGCTTTTATAACACACTTTTATTTGGTTTTGATTCAAGCAAACAAGGTCAAGTACATTACATGACCACAGTATTATATAGTCATATGATATATTCAGTATGAAATAGCCGAAAGATGACGTTCGGAAACTTTTGGCAGGGGTCTGTATACTAACTTAAAATTAATAATATCAAATTAATAATATCTATTTTTTATAAGAATAAAAATTTAGTGCGCATTTATTTTGAATAGAATATTGCAGATTGGTGATGTAAAAGATAAAGCCAATTTAGCAAAGTTCTAGCAGTTATGATTTATACTGATAGTACAACACTTGATACTTATAGTCAAAAATCAGAATATTCTATTTTTAATATTAGGTAATATATCAAAAAGGCGTTGCAATTTACCTGATATAAAGGTTATTATTGACTTTTTATCATATTTAATTACTCAAGATAATAAACTTAAAACTTCTAAAGAATTTAAAAATATGAAAAAGGATTTAGAGCAATATGCTTTGAAATATTTATTAAAACTACTTTTTTAAGAAGATAGCATTTATTTGACAATAAATGATACAATTGAGTATTTTACGTTATATTTATTTACTATACTTACAGATATGTTAGAAGTGCAAAGTATTTATTATATATATAAATCTTATTGTGCGCGTTATCTTATTACAAGTGTTTTATACAAGATAATCAATTAAATAATATGAGTATTAAATAAGATTCTATTATTTTGCGCAATTATAATAATATGTGTAATGCTTTTCTTTCTAATAATGCTGCTGAATATTCAATTCATAATTACAAAAATGTTTTTTGAAATTCAGGTAATATATTTAATAATTAAATTTATTTTATATAAGAATTAATTTACCGACATTTAACTAATTTATTTAAGATAACAAATATTTATAATGCAATAGTTTTAAATCATATGCATATATAAGAAATTAGTTTATTTCAATATATGATTAATTTTATAAGGGAGTTAATTATGCGTCAATCTGGTATCAATTTATTGTAAAAATGAATATTTGTTTAGCCACAATCATACCATTTAATGACTTAAGAATATTAAAAAAAGGATATCAATAGGGCATAAAATTTACAGGAGTTGAGATGTGTGATATGATAAAAATTATTGTATTTATATTAGATAAACTTTATACAATAGATGACAAGATTAAAAAAAATAATAATACAGATAAACAAACAATACCTTTTATTAATTGTGAAAAAATAATTCAATATTTTATTAAATACATTAAAATGTATATGACATTGAAACTGACAGAAACTAACAGACCTATCGAATATAATATATATGCCAAATATGTCATATCTACTAAATATACTATATCTGCCAAATAGAACACACATATTATTTATTATATTTTTATTATTTATATCATTATTATCATTTATAACATATTTAACATAATTAACATATCTGTTAGTTCTGTTATTATTGTCAGTAGTATCATAAATATCATAGATTTTCTTTAATTATAATTTTTCTATATAAAAGGCATAAAAATATTTTGAAAAAAAGATAGATTCCAACAAGATCACAATATTGTATTTAATATTCATTTAATAACAATAATAAACAATCTTAACATTTTACAAACATAAAACTTATAATTTTATTCTTGTTAATTAAATAAACTCTCTAATAAATAGTGTATCAAGTTGATTAGATTTAAATTATAGCTATTATCCCCTTGACTTCAAATCATAGCTAACTTATTCAACGAAAAAAGTAACATTAATAACATCAAGAAAAGAAAAATTTAATGAAGATGAATTAAATAATTTTGAAGTAAGTATTTAAATTTTATATTTATTATATATTTGTATATTATTTAGTTATTAACATATACTATTTATTATTATAGGAAGAAATTATTGAATGGTAAATAACCTATATAGAATATCTAATAAAAAAGATACACTTAGTCAAATAATTAAAACTGTAAGTTATTTCATAATTTTTATTAATTTAATTATCTAATTTCTTATATTAATAAATTTAATGCATTTAGATTTAACGGCAAATAATTACAACTGATTTACAAAAAATTCAACTATTTCAAAATTGGATTATATGTGATCTTTATTATAGAAACTTTCTATTAGTGAATTAGATACTTTTATAGAAAAATTAAAACGTAAAAAAAATATTAATGATTTAGGCATTGAGGATATGCAAAATTTGGTTGGTTACTTAGATATTATTTTAGATGAAAAATCAAATATTTCTGAAAATGGTAATATTTATTTAAAAATTTATGCGTCTGGAATATTACAAAATGGTAAAATTATATATGCTATTAATAAATTTTATGGACGTCTAAGATTTAGTGATATTGCTATTGTAATGGAAAATGCAGATTATTTAACAGATAATGGAATATGCTATAGAAAAGTAAATATGTATATTTATTTTATTTACTATTATAATAATATTGATTACTAATTGTAAATTATTTAATTTAGGTTTTAATGTTAGCTGAAATCTCATTTCATCTTTTAATAATCCAAAATTTCCAATTGTCTTAATATATTAGTATGATTATTGCTTTAAGTGATATTCTACAAAATATCAATGTCCTTATATAAAATTAATGAAGTAATATGATATAATACTTTTGATTCTATCGTTAGTTTAATACATATGGTAAAGAGATTTGATTATGAAAATGAATTCTTTATAAACAAATTTCAATTTTAAATAATCCAATTAATTATAGTATAGCACAAGTAATTATAATAATTAAATGTTGATATTAAATGCTAAATATTGTTAATAAAGCTAATGTAAATTTTTATAAAACGGATTTTTTAAAGATTTAAATTTAAGGATTATTTAAAGATTTTTTATATAGGAATCTTTAAAGATCTGTAATTTTAAGGATATTTTAATAAATTATAAGGATTTTTGAAGAACCCATAAAATTAGAAATCCTTAAAGATTCTGAAGCAATTTATGGAATCCTTAAGGATCTGCATTCTAAAAAAATTACTGATGAATAAGCGATCTAATCCCATTTGTAAAATATTTAAACACAAATTAAATAAATTAATAAATTTTGTTTAAAAAAAACGAAATTAATTGAAAGAGTAGGACATTATTTTTTTAGGAAAGGAAATTATCAAATTTGTTTGCATCAACCAATTATCAGTTCCATAAAAATTAATGCAGTAACTGCGAAAATTTCAAAAATATCATAAATAAATATTTTATCAATTATGAATGTCTTATTAAATATGTATGCTAAAATAATTATATTACATTTCGATTCTATATTAGTTTTTATCATACATACAGTGGTCGAAAAAAGTAATCAGAAAAAAATACATTGCAATAAAATGTAAATTTCTCTCGTATTATTAAGCCAA